AAAGATAAAAATTTTAATGTTTTGTTGGGGTAGTGATATTTTGACCCCCTGATGACATCATCGAGCGCATATTTATTTAATGAAATGTAATTTAAATCAAAGAGCTAATCAACATGAATCTGCTGATACCTTGTTTGTAAATTTAGTTGGTTTATTACAAAGTTATTGGCAGTTAAGTTTCCTGTATTTACCTAACTTTGATGGTCAAAATGAAAAAGGGGTGGGGCCAAAGCGGTCCCTGGGGCGCAGTGAGACCCAACTTTTTTCTGTTAACATGCATTTTTTGAAAGACTGGACCCTAGGGTACATGAAAATACCTGAGAAGTTCGGTACGGTCAACCACACTGGCCCATGGGCTAATACTATGTGAATGTCGGCTCAAGTCTAGCATCGAAAATACCAAAAGTAGATAATAATATGAGTTMTACAGTCATGGGTTGTGTCAACAGCATCTTTCTTGATGAAACTGATAAAAACAAATACTGAGGATTGTAAAAAAATGGCAGATAAAAGATAAAAAGACTGGGTGAATGTGGATATGATGAAAAGCTGAATCAATATGGCATTAAATGACCGGCACTACAGTGGGTATCTAACTATTTGAAACATAGGAAACAGTTTGTACAAACAAACGATGTAAGATCTGAACTCTGTAACTAATGTGGAATTCCGCAGGGTTCTGTACTTGGACCAAAGTTATTTATTTTATTTGTGAATGACTTGGAAAAAGGTGTCTGTACTTTTAATTGTGTTCTGTTTGCAGATGATACCACATTTTTTTGTTTGGGTAAAAATATAGAGTGGACATTAGAGATGATGCAGATAGAATTTTTGAAGATACAAACTTGGTTTAAACCTAATAAATTATAATTAAATTTGGATAAAACTAATTAGATGATATTTAGTAATAAAAAGAGAATTATTGATGTTCCATCTGATGGTGTAGAGCCTTTTGGTTGTCATTATTGATGAAAAGCTTACATGGAAACCTCAAATTATTTAAGCACAAAAATAGATAAACATATTGCATTAAGTGAGGGAGTCATTCAATGATAAAGCTCTGTATGTTGTAATGCAATAATTGTTCTACGCTAACCCGGGGAAAGCATGTAAAACAATTACAAATCCTATTATTGTTTTACAGAAAAGAGCTCTAGGAATTATTACAAGAAAAAAAATTACAGTCACACATCAAATTTATTATTTTATTAATTAAAATTATCGAAATTCCACTAATTGGTTGATTATAGTATTTTACAAGTTATACAGAGCTTACAAAAACACCTTGTCTTTAAACATCTAACTGAACTTTGTTAAGAGAGAAAGTTGTTTTCATCTCAGGAGGATAGAGATGTTTGTGAAACCTAAGTTCAGAACACGTTTGAAGGAACAGTGCACTTCAATCCAAGGAATAAATTAATGAGATAATCTGGAGAGTAATGTAAGAAAAATGCCAGATCAATGTTTATGTTTAAGAAAATGATCAAAGTTGGTTTGTTAAAGAAATATGAAATGGAATAATGTGCATGAAGTGTTGTTTGCTAAGGTTTTGATGTTTTTGTTTAGTTTCTGTTTTTTGTAAAATACTCTTGTTTTAATTTATTCTTGGGAAAAAGGTGCAGATATTATCCAATATTTTTCTTCTTTCTGCTGCCTTTCATTTCATTTTATTTATTTTTTCTTCCTCTGTTGTGTATGGAGTTTGTTTTTGTTTTTTAATGAAATTGATCAGTTTTTAAAAATGTAGTTTTGGTTAATTCAATTTTTTGGTTATGAATTACTTAAAATTTTTGAGTTTACTTTCTATAAAATTAAGTCAGAGGGATGTAAATATTTTTTAAAAAAACAAACTAAATGTTTTTAGTAAGTCTAAATGAAATTTGTCAAATCAAACAAACTTAAAAAATAAAAACTTTATTGAATTACTTATTACCAATTGAAGTAATTCATCTAAGTTGGATTAACTATTCTCTTTTTTCAGTGAAAAGGGCTCGACACACGGGAGGCGACAGTCGCTCGCCCTCCTCCAGCCAGGTGTTACATCATATTTTGTCACTGTCATATATTGTGACCAGAGGGGACGCTGTTGCCTTTCTACAACAGAACTTGGCCGAACATGTCCACAAAGAAGAATATGATATACAAACCGTGTAAGCCAGAGGATGAAGACATACGAAGAAAAAAACAAAAACTGTTGTCTGTTGTTATAATACATGGTCACAGAATATGACAGCTGTCATTTACTGTGACTTCACTGTAGCTAAAGAAATAATAAAAATTTATTCAAAAACTATTTATATTAATTGTTTACATCCTCTAGTGTCAGGAAAATATCTTTTCATCACTGACATGGTGACCGTTATTAAATTAGTACAGGGTCTCATAATATGATAGTTATTATCATGTATAGTATAGTAGTACTAATAGTAATAGTAATAGTCAACATGCCAGTGATCAGAAATTATTTTTCTGACATTAGAGGATGTATACAATGAGTAGAATCAGTTTATGAATAAATATTTTTATTATTTACCAAGCTACAGTTAAGTCACATTATATGACAACAGTTGTCATATTTTGTGACCTCTGGGTTACACTTTTGTCGTATTATATTCTTCTTTGTGGCTATTTTCGGCCAAGTTCTGTTGTAGAAACGCAACAGCGCCCCCTCTGGTCACAATATATGACGGTCACAAAATATGGTGTAACACCTGCGAAAATAGTGCATGTGAAATTTCGCGCTCGTACACGTAGACGTGAACATGCGAGCTTGTGACGCGACATGTGAAAGTTGAAAAATGTTCTACTTTTGTCGCTGTCGCTTGGCGTACAACCAATCATCGAGGGTTTCTTTAACTGGTCAATGAGMGGAGAGTAAGCTACACACTGCAGTTAGCTAACACCTTATTTTAGCTCTGTCAGACTTTCCAGTTTGACCCTTCACCAGGTGATTACTAAAAAAGAGRATTTATAGGAATTTGTTTTTGCCAGGGTGAAGTTACCCAGTAAGTTTTTCCTCATAAAATTGTATCTTGGTGTGTGTTTGTTTTTCAATATCATTAGTACTGCAAGAGATGTTTAGTTTACACGTCCGTAATGCACACCCGTTTTTTTGTGAACCACTAATAACCTTTACAAGAGGCAGCAGAAGAACCAAYCAACTATTGTGAAGACAGGCGACCTGAGATTCACAACGCTGTCCCGTGTGTCGGGTTTCACCCTGGTTGAAATGATAGCTGTTAATCGTTGTCGTTTGTTGCTCCCCGAGTTGGTGGTTCAATTCCACTGCTATTCAGTCACATGTTGATGTGTCCATGGGTAAGACACTGAAGCCTCTGATGTGTCCCGTCAGTGTATGAATGTGATTTAAGCACTGATTAGTCTCTATCAGAGGTGTCAAGTAAYTARGTACAAATACTTTGTTACTTTACTTAAGTAGTAATTTTGGTTATTTATACTTTAGTGGAGTAATTATTTTTCAGCCTACAGTTTACTTCTACTTCTTACGTTTTAATTCAATAATCTGTAGTTTCTACTCCTTACTTTTTAAAAATGCAAAAAGTATTTCATTTCTATTTAACTTTGACTTGTTTTTATTCCATCTTTTCATTGTTCAGAAAAAAATGAATAAATATAAATCTATGCAGACACATGGAGCCCATGGATGGAGTGAATTTGATTGTTGTTGATGAGAAGTGTAAATATAAGTGTAAAAAGTGTAAATATAAGTGTAAAAAGTGTAAATATAAACCATTCTGACGTCATGTTGGACTGAACTCACTCCATCACACCTGTGTGACACAAATCACATCACACTCCAGCAGGACTGTAGCACAGTGATTCACAACCAGGGGTACAAGAACCCCTTGGGTTACRCAAGCATATTACGGGGGTACGTGGAGGTGCTCAAAAATAAAGTAAAAATAGCAATGTGGAAATTATGGATTTGACACAAAATGGAATCCAGTATAAAAAGCAGAATCACAGAATTTGCTCATTTGAGTGAATTTCTGATGTATTTTGGACGTTACTGTTTTCTGCACCTGCCATTACCTGGTTTACTTATTTAATTACTTATTCATTTTCAAGTCAATATTTTTATCTTCATCTTTAATCTTTCTTTGAAAAGAATAAAATGCCTGAGAATTAAATGTTCT